CATACGTGGTATTTAAGAATCTTAACTTCCAACTTGTTAATAATGGTCTTTGAAGGAAACCCTATAAACTGTCTTCCAGTTCCTGATGAGATGGAATAATTTATTACTTCAATTTCTCTGATTAATGTAAAACGTGTTTCAAATTTGGGTTTTCCTTTAATATTTAAACTTCCCCATGAGAGGAGCTGCAGAAGGGCAGGGTGATTGAGTGCCCCCCAAACTAACATGGCATGTTCCCAAAGCAGGGTAAGCTCTGCTACTGCAGCCGATCAGCAATAAAAGCCATCATGCGCCACCAAACCCAGCTTGTTTCAGGACCATGCCCTCCAAAAGCCATGAACCTCGGTGCCAGCCTTTCAGGGAAGGGCAGGACTCCCCAGCTCTGCTCACTCATGCCAGGGGAGTTTCTTAAAAATTCACCCTGTGAATTGGGAATTTTAAGTTGTCAAGAATATCTCCCCCAAAAAGTGCTGAAAAAAGCCCAAGGCTGGTGTTATTCAGAGTAAATTGCATGGTAGAGCTTTTTCCTAAGAAATAAATTTATTTTAAATAGGCTTTCTACTACCCTGTTACATCATTTTTGCAGAGCCAATGTCAGACAAAACCATGGTGCTTTTTGTCTTGGTCTTACACCATATTGGAAACTGAGCTCCAATATTTAGAGTAGTTGTTCCCTGAGGTAAAACACATCATACTTTCTGTGTCTTCCATGGACCATGTCGAGGTTACAGCAAATTGAAGGATCCATCTGTGATGGTCTCGTGATGGCAACTTGACCACTGAAATTGCCCCTCTTGTTCAGAAAGACATAGGAAAAGGACAATGTTAATAAAGAAGGGTCTATATCCCAAGGAAAGCTAAGCAATGGTGTAGTGCACTGGTAGTGGGGTGGAGAGCCCTTAAATATCTGCAGTGATAAGAATAAGAGCCCAGACAAGAGGGAGACTGTTTTAGAGAGAATTATTTATTAGAAGATAGGAGGTTGTTACGTACAGATTCTGTCCTGCAAAAGTGTCCTGGTCACGGATATGTCAGGGAGACATTTAAACCCATTAGAGCTGACTCTGGTCTCCATGCAGAGATACTCAAGACACAGCAGAGCTCTGCCAGACCTGCTCTCGTGCTAGTGCTCAGCTGGGGAGAGGCCTGGCGTACCACAGCATCCCTGAGCTTGTTACACCGTCTTTATCCCACTGGGAAACCTGGCCCGTGGGCTGGAAACCAGCAGTGGGGGACACCAGACGGTGCTGCAGAAGGGGCACCGTTCTTCCCTGGGGTACCTTGGAGATCTCTTCCCTAAGTAGGGAATTGTCTTCCATCGTGCCAGCGATGAGCAAGGCTACGGGGATACAACCATGCTATGAGGTAGCATGAGGTAAATTAAAAGAAAAAAAGTAAAATAAAAAAAAGGAGGATTTCTGCGATACAGAGAAGAGCTCTTCCCACCCTCCCTCACCCCAAAATCAGGCCAAGCAGGCAACGCCTGAGCCCCCTGCAGAGACCTCTAAGAAAGCGGCTCTGACAAGTGCATCGCAAAAGGCTGCAATTTTGCCTCATAATAGTTGTGATCCTAGCAGTATTCCTCCCAGTTTCATGGGTGACCTCTTTTCTTTTGGGTTGGCAGGTAGTATTAGTCAGCCTTTCATAAGGTCTCTGCACAGCCTCTGCGGTGGCTCAGGGCTTTGCCAAGTGAAGCCCAGGTGCATCACAAAGCTGCTGTGCCGGTTTTGCACCTCCTGAGCCAACTCCAGGCCCACGGTATGCTGCACAGAGCACGGGCAGCATTGCTGGAGAGGCAGGGACAAGAGAAATGGCAGACGAAAGGTGTCAGCCATCACATTGGCAATAACAGAAGGGCCTGAGACCAAGCCTTCTGCAGATGGTTAGTGGCTCACGGCCAGCATAGGGCTCGGTTTCATACCAGCCCCTAGGCTTTGTCCTTATTCCAGGTGTGCATCTTAAACTGTACTCTGCTACGGATCGTACGGCAGAGCAGAGTGGGTTGACCAGAGGCTGTAAGTTTTCTTTTGACAGGCCACCATCAATATGGACATCTTTCCAACATCTAGCAGATTTCTTAAAGGAGGGTATTATCCAGGAGTCATCTGTTTAACTTTCTAGTCTATGGGTGCTGAAGGATAAATAAATACTCTGGAGTCTGGCTCCTTAATCTGGTCCTCTGCTGAAGCCACACTCTTGTCTACCCAAGAGACTTTGCTGGCTGGGTCAGAATATCACCTTCACTTCACTGTCTGCAAATGCACATTTAACTTTATTTCTTCTTATCAGATCCTAGGCTATGGTTCCAGAGACTACCTGTAAAACCCCAGGCATAATCCCCGGCTTGCTCATACCGTACCTGAGCTTTTGTCTGCTATCAGGACTCTACCAAGAGTATTACCCTTTCAGTCCACAATAATCTGAAGGAAAACCTATTGTTGGAACAGGTTTGTCAGAAATTTAATGCAATTGTCAGAAACAGCTGTTTATGGCTCATCTATCACCGTATCTCTCTTCTCATCTCAATCCAAGAGTGGCCTTTGTTAGCTTGGTATATTAGAAACCTTTGAAACTAGAGACTTGGCAGTGAACGCTCACAGCTGATGCCAACGTCAATATGAAAGATGGGTCAGACTACAGATCTCAGAAGGGACAATTTGTGAGATGAGCATTTTTCTTTCACTGCAGATGACCTTCAGGGTTGGAGGTACTGGGCATGGCGAATAAGAGTAAGACTGCAGCTACAAAGCAAAGCAGCAGACCTCCAGTTATCTTTAGGATAGTAAACACTCAGCTTTGCCACAAATATGCCTATTTTTTACTCAGGTTTTATGTTCCTAAGGCACTCGGACTCCTTTTTTGGAACATGCACCCCAATAAGTTTGACGTTAGGGGTTAGGAGGGTTAAGAGAAATGTTCCACAAGGGCATACCACCTTTAGTTGAAGGGAACAGATGCTCCAGAACCACAGAGTTATCAAAACCTCTGGAGCAATCACAGCCACATCTTCAGTTTTTACGGATTTCTATGGCATTGGTTGTGCTCCCACCTTCTTCACCCTTTGGAAAGGGGGGAGCTGAGGACGTCCAGGCCCTCTGAAGGACAGGAATATGGTGGTATTTGGGGAGGGCAACACCCTGCTCCAATATGGGAGCTCAGCAAGCCAGAGCTCTTTGCCTACTATTTGCCAAAAAACAACAAATCTGGGGGTTTGATCTGAAACATAATCTCCTTCTCTCCTCTCTCAGCCCCAACCTTACAAAAAAACCAAACCATTGTCCCAACCTGGTCTGAGGTCTAATTCCAACTTGGTCAAGTGGGAGGCACACAGAGCAGACAGCAGAATATCTGTTTTTAATTTCAGCCTAACATTTATAGGTAGCTTTTTGCCTCCATTTCCATTATTCCCTTCCAGAACGGGTTCTTCAGACACCCATGATGAAAACTTGTTCCTCCTAGGACTTTTTGAAACACCTTGATGAGTGAAGCTCACCTGCCAGAGCTGCCTGCATGTTGTAGATGAGAAAAGTTCTCACTGATGTTTTCAGAGACAAAAGGCAGGAGAGAGGGATGTTTTCTCTCCAGAGCATGTCCACAAAGGCGGGAGGCACAGGAACCTTTTCCCTCAAGACCAGATTAAGCTGGCCCCTAAAGTGTACCCGCAGTGATGCACAGCAAACGCCGAGCATCCTCAAGGTGCCACCCTGGCACAAGCAGTGCTTGACTCACCGTCTCTCTTTGGGACCCCCTGTGCCGAGGGCTCTCAGGAGGTGCGCTGCGAGGTAGCACTACGTGGCTGCACTAAGGAAAGTCTAACAGGGAGGGCAGACACGGAGAAGGTGGAGAAGCTCAAAGCAGAGGAGCGCAATTCACTGGGGCTCCAGCAGCGCATGGCAGAGGGGCTGTTACCAAGACTTTGTGGCACTTAATCGTCACTATGTTTTGAGTATCTCGGCTGGGCATGTAAGACCAGTTCTAACAATATCCAAAAGAAAGAACATGTTTTGATTTGTATCGTGTATGGCATTACAGGGGAATAACCCATTACACAGAAAGATTTTGAACATTAATTACAGTGTCTTTTATAACTTTATAATTTAACTGCCAACCCTTTCCCTTGAAATTAACCACAGATGTACATCATATAATCAAACAAGCTTTTTTAAAAAGTACATCGTAATATAAATAGTTTATTCAGTGCATGGTTGTGTATACAACAAATAATAAACAACTCTTTTGTACGAGGCAGAAAGCTGCCTGTACAGAACTATGTCAGTTTTGGAGCACAGAATCCAACGATGATTAATGCACAAAATCTTACACATCATGCAACTCTATGCCAAGATTCCAACTTTCTCCCATGCAACAGACATGATGACCTAAATGGAAACCTAACTACAGGTTTTTTTTAAACAATTGTTTCCAATAGCATGTATAAGTATATGTTGTTTAGGGGTAACCTGTCCTAACGCTTCCTCCTACACAATATTCACGTGCCCGTTACAGTGAAAGAAGGACTTTTACAAATAAGACGTTTCTTATAAAAAAATTAAGTCACCTTAATTCCACAGTTTCTGTCTTTAGAAAAGAAGCCACAACAATAGTTTAACATGACACACAAAATGGAATTAAGAGAAATCTACACTGGAGGATAATTTTATCCCTTTCTGTTAACTTCCACTTGGGATAACAAAACAAGTCAATTCCTACAGACTGGGGTTAGCACAAGAACTTTACCAGAAACTACAAATCTATAAAAATTTATATTTCATTGTGTTTAAAACCACAAGAACACTGTTTGCTTGAGCCTGAGACACCAACTCTCAGTTCCAACCCTGAATTTTTAATTATTTTTTTTAAAGACATAGCTTTAAAGACCCATTGGAGTTCAGAAATCAAAAAGTTGCACTATTCCAAATTAAAGGATACATTTTTTATCAAGCCTTAGATATAAAACGGTAAGCCAAGGAAACAACAGAGTTTACATATTTGTTTTTTGTTTGCCCCTATAAAACATACAAGCATTAAAATTTCCTTTGAAGAGCAAAAGTGGTCTTTTTCTGAGTTGGAAAGCAAATTCTTATCAGCAGTGAATGCTGTGAAATGTTTTTGTTTCGTATTCCACAAAGCATAGGAAAAAGAGAGAGAGAAAGAGAGAGAGAGAGAAAGAGCTGGACATTTCTTCTCCGAGATTTATTCCGCAGTTATGTTTTCTGGCTATCCAAGTGCCTTGTGATATGCACAAGCATATTCTACATTATTGGGGTATATCCTTTGACAACCAGTAGATCTAATGGCTGATAAACGAGTGACCTATGCAAGTTCGGTGGCTTGTCCTGGGCAATTGAACGTTTGGATGAAAGACTGCTAGTAAGAATTCAACTGCATCCAGAGGTAAGGTTCTGTTTAGAGAGCACTTGGCTTGCCTGAACCTGGCTACGTTGACTCGTTTTGGCTCATGGATTTACCCCCGTTTAGCACTCCTGAAACACTTCTGCTCTTTGTTGGGGTCCCACTTCCAGATCTTGAGAACTCTGTGAGATCATGGAGAGAAGGCTCTTTGTACATGGCCACTGCAAAGCAAAAGAGAGGCAGCACGTCAGCACGTGTTAGGGGCTACTCTGTCTGTTGGTGCAAAGTCCAGCTGTGAAGAACCATTGGGCTTTTTTGTTCAGCAATATGCAACGTAAGGAGTAAATGAAACACGGCAAGGAGACCTCTTCCATTTCAAACACTCCCTAAGAACCTCTGAGGTCCTCTTCAAGGGAATGATATTTTAGAGAAGGGAAAAACAACAGCTCCCTCCCTCTCCCAGTTAAATCGCCCACCTACCCACTGCATTTACAAAATTCTGCAAGATAGACCTAAGATGATATAAATCAACATTTCCTTATTAATGGTGAAGTAGCACTGTCAACAGCTGTGATTTGACCTGTTACTTGTATATGTAGCCTAAGCAGGTGGATGCAAAAATGGATTTTCAGTCTTCTGTTTCCTTTGTTTTCACACACGTTAGAAGTGAGTATCAACCTCCACATCAGTTGCCTAACACCTAGTCCTAAATGTAGTCTGCCAGACTAGTCCAGCATCCACCCAGGGCTATGCACCTTTGAAATAACCTCTCTGATTTCAAAATGGTACTGCCTTAAAAGGCTACCTAAGAGCATAACCTGGAAGTAGAAGGCGTCCTTCCTTTAAAGGAAGGAGCATATGGAAGCTATTTCTTCTGGAGAAAGGGAGCACGTCTATACATCGACTGAGATCTCCCTCTTTGCATTGACCAAAGAGGGAGCCAAGTCTGACCACAGTCCTGATATGGTTCCTTCAGTTAACTGAGATGACTGTAAGTCCTAGCTTTTAATACGCAGCAGTATACATAAGCCACATGCATTATTACCTTTAATGTCATATGCTGTTGCCACATTAATTGTGGTTTAATAAGCACCACACATTACAGCTTTATCCCAGGCAAAAACAGACAAACAAACATCCTGTACCATAAAGCACAGATTGACAAGCTGTACAGCAAGTCGTTAATGGCCTGTAAGCAGACGTTTGGGCCATTCCGGGCAGAGTCTTCATTATCTATAACGGAGACAGTGTGGACTTCAGGCACAAAGAAACTAGTATGTGTTTTTGGTTAGATTAGAGAAATGCAGAGGTAACATAGAGAAACACAGCTCTGGTTAGATTAACAGTGTGTTACAGAACACTATACTCCTGTTATATAAGTAGCTGAACCCTTCAAATATGTATGCATAGCAATTAAACATCTCTGACACAAGATAATGTCAGTTCAGATAGATGGAGCAAACCCAAGCAATTACCTTTTAATGGTTTTGGAAGAAAGTGTGCTGCAGGTTTGTTTTTCTTCACGTGGTTTCCTTTCATTATTTCTCCTTCTTTGTTAAGACCCAGATACCAACCCCGGCCAGACTGTTGCTGTCTGTAGATCATTGAAGAATACGTCACATAGTAGTTTTCAAATACTGATTCTTTGAACTTGCATTCAGGTGTAAAATGTTCCTGTAAGAAAGTAACAGATCAATCTGTGCAGTGCAGAATCTCACATCAGTTAATGAAAAAGCATCCAATATTTGCTGCTTTCCCAACGGTTAAAAGACATACATCTCATCCTCCACTACCCAATTATGAAACACGGGCCCTAAAAGTATTAACAAAAGAGTAACACAATTTGAAATCTGTGAAATGGTGCTGTGAGCCGCTCAAAGTAGCCTAATAAAATCTTTCTGAACAACGAGTAAAAAGTCTAAGTGAAGAATTATTGATTGATGCCACTAATGGATATTAGGCAGACACAGCCCTGATGTCAACCCCAAGGGACCAGCTATGGTCCAGCCCCACAGGCAAGAAGAAAGGCCACGTAATGCCTCTGTGCATTAACTGCTAGCCTTAACTGTTTGTGAGGAAAATGCAATAAAAATTCAAAGCCAAGAATCCATGAGTAAATGGTTGTCTCTTACTAACCCAGCAATATTAAGTTAGCTTGTAGCAACTGTCTCTTTGGACAAATCCACGCTCTTCTTCGGTCCAGCGTATCATCCACTGAAAGCCCAGCTGTCAGAGACCCAGTGCAGACATTAGTCTCTGCCCTGGGACTGGGCCACAGCTGGAAGCCGATAGGATCAAGTTTTAGTCTTCGTGTTGAATTGCACTGCTTCTTTTGGGGAGATGGTATTGAGCTAATAGTTAAATTAAACAGCAATAAACCAGGAGAGCGTCTTTTTCTTCCTGCCAGTGGTGTTGCTGGTTTTCCCTGTGCAATGGTCTTGACTGAATCAATGCCTTTTGGCACGATTGCCCAAATTCAAGAAAGAACACAGACATGAAACATGGGTCTTAGAGGGATCTAAGACCAAAACACCAGTCCTGACAGCACCACTTAGCTGCTTCCTAAGGCCTCTGGTTTCTTTAGATTTTTTTAACCTTACAATTTCTGACAACATCTCACCTACGGACCCTGCAAAGTCCATAAAATATGAAGGAGGAAGGGCTTGGTCTGGGGATGCAAATATTAATATTGCAATCCTGCCCATCAGCCAGCTGTTTGCTGGTCTTTTCTTGTGAAGGCAGCCAGCTTCAGTGGAGCTGCCCTTGTGCTTAAAGTATCCTACAGCGGCATGAAAGAAAAGAGGAAAAATTGTGCTTGCATAATGATTGTAATTTTGATTTTATAAAATCAAAGGAAATGAAATGTCTCAGGAGCTTAAGATGTTCTTATCTAGTTTCTAAAACGTTTTGTGTGAGAAAAAGATGGTACTCAAAAAAAACCCCCACTGTTCATTTTCTGCACATCTTTTGCCATTTTGTCTTCTCATAGGAGAAGGAAAAAAACCTCCCACCCTCTGACTGGCATTCGCTTCAACAAAGAATGTGAAGTAAGCAATTTTCTTCTTTTTTTCTTCAAGCTAATTGGCTGTTATTTAGTTAATTGACAATTGGTTTCAATTGCTGTCAAATGGGGACAGTTACTGCATTTTTGCAAGATTTCTAAATAAAAGCCTTCCATCACTGTGCCCTGCCCAGCGCTAGCCATGTTAACAAAGACTATTGCAAGCGCATCATCCAATTAGCAGCAAAATGGAAAACTACAGTGCTCCCACTGGAAGATTATGGTTTATGTACAGTAATTTGGAGCTGTTTTGGGTACAAAAGGCCTGCTTGTACACCACAGCTGAGGGTCAGATTGCAAACAGAACCACAACATTTACTCCATCTCTGTGAGGAAGCAAGTTAACCTCAGTAGGAGCAGCAGAAGCCAAAAGCTCGCAGAGTCCCTTGAAACAGAAGCACAGAAACAGTGGGGAGACAGAAAGACAGACACTAAAAAACTTCACCCCTCAGTTTTCCCTTGGCTGGGAGGCTTGCGATAACAAGCCGTGGTGGAAGCGCTGTGTTGCTGTGAGTTGAGCCCAGGCACAGCCAGACACCGGCCTGATGGTGCACACCAGCCCGGCAGCCACCCCTCACGAGTAATCCCCTCCCTGGAGCATCCTGTGATTCAGCAATAACTACCATGGTGGTGATTTCTCACAATAAACAGTGGGGCACGGAAACAAAGACACCTCTCTATAACGTGCTCAGTTACCACAACAAATCCCCTCTCAATTTTTCCAGCACTGAAGCAGACCATCTCATTCACCTGACTGGCTTAGCAAAGAATCGTGCCCCTTTGTATCGACTGACATCTGCTGAATTCCTCAGCTACGGCTGCAGCTCCAGAAAGGTGCTGCACGGTGGGAAAGGCATCCTCCTTGCCAAATAAAAGTAGATCCCACATGAGCTGTTTGCAGAAGCTGAAGTGCTCTGCTTGCTCCTGAATACTAAGCAGCTGCTTACCTTTTGCAAGAGTTTGTTCCCACCCATCACTTGCCTTTAGTGTAATTCAACGTGTGTCTTTCCTGCTCATTGAAAAAAGAGCCGGGGAGGAGAATTGCAGAGGGAAGCTCGGAATGAGGAATGCTAGCAAATGTGCTCCTAATTTGGGGGCATTACAATTAAAATGTACTTTTCTGAGCTTGGCAAGTCTGTGTGCCAACCCAGTTGGGTACAGACAGGACTTCCCTCAGCACATCAGTTCAAAATACAGTGCAGAGCAGCAAGTGCAAATTGGCTGTTATGTTATCTTTGCTGGCAAATTCTTTAATAATGTACTGAGGAAGGGCAAGTTAAAAGTTGTGAGAGGGCTGAGTGCCCCAATTAAAACTGATCTTTTCCAGCTCATGTAGTCAATGCTATTGAAAATTTATAAATATAAGTAAGTGTTGAATTTTAAGACCAGTTTTTTCCTGTCTCTCAGCTGTCCTCTTTGTCTATCTTTGCAATGAAAATAATTCAAATGAGTTCTGAGAAGTCCAATGTTATGAATATATTGTTACACAAAACAGATGAAAAATCGGTACTTGTGTGAAAAAGTGTTTCAGTCTCAGCTTACCTCAGAAGTCAGGGATGATGGCATCTACATGACAGTAAATTGCACTCACCCAAGCCCCTCACACATGCACCCTAACAATGAATGAATGAATGAATGAATAAATGAATAAATAAAAGTTAAAGAAAGTGCTGGATAAATTGTAGTCATGACTCAGCCGTGCTTAAGTAAGCAAGAAGATGAACTGTCAGAAGCTTCTTCTTGGTTTTGAGCTGATCAGCTGGACTACTGAAACGTTCCTTCATGAATAGATCTGCAGCTGCATTAAATATGTGAAAAATAATTAAAAAAGAAATAGTTTGGTGCATGATAATATGTTAAAAGGCCTTGTAGCATACACTTAGAGTGGCTGTATTTCCAGGCAGCTGACCAGATTATATCTAAAATAATCCAGTCTCTTCCATACAAATACTGCGTTACAGGTATGCCAAGGCTGAAAGCTAAAATACTGTACAGATGAAGCTGGAATTCTTCTGGCCTTAATTGTGCAAAAGCCATGTTTCAAGCCAAAGACCATCCAAATTATCATCCATCACACCCACCTATACTGCAGGACTGAATATTAATTATTCTGGGTCCCAAATGATTGTGACGCAAGAATTCAGACTCCCCGTAGACAGAAAATTGGAAATCTGCTTTTAAGAAAGGTATTTAGTGTCTTCAAGTTTCTGTTGTATTATAGAAGCCACTCGTCAGGATGGCTGTAGGCACAGTGCACATAAGGAGGGCAAAGATATTTGCTCTCTGCTATTTATTGCATACTGTGAGAAAGGCATATCCGTATCCATATCCATACATTGTGGATACCATCAGCAGGAGACATCACCAAATACTTTACAGAGTAGTAAGCTTAAGTCATTAGGTCAATGCTCAGTTTGTTAAATGTCTGTATATCACCATAGGTTAAAATGTCCTGCAGCTACCCTATAGCAGTTGATGAGAACAATCAGAAACTTTATTCAGATGGATTTAGTGCTAGGGGCATGAATAAACAATAAGAAAAGAAAAATTAACTTTGAAAAGTATTTGGGAAAAGTATTGGCTACTTGGGAAACCTGGAAAACGCTCATACCTATTGAGCATATAATTACGTTCCATGTGATCAATGACTATGTCTGCATATGGGATTTATTCTTTATTTTCTCCACTTAATGAAAATTGGATTTTTTCCCCTCCATATCCTGATTTCTTTCAGGACTATAATGTAGCCCAGGATTCCATTCTATAATCATGAATTTTTGAAGGAGCCTCTTTAAGGCTCCAGAGTAGTGATTTTCTGCGCCACTGGGCCTGCCTTTTTTTATTAACAGAGATTGATTTTCCCCATCTTGGCATGTGAAGTTCCAGAGTGTATCCTCTGGATCATCACCCTGTAATGTGCAGTGATATCAACAGCACACAATGTGAATACTTCAACTTTAACGTTATCGGAAATAACAGCTTTTAGATCACCAGTGTGAGAAGACTCTGAAGAAACCGGTATTTCATGAAGCCACCAAAAGCTGTTTGCTACAGCAATGGAAACTTATAATTATCTTGAAGAAATCTATTCTAGATCAGATATATTACAGTTCTCACAGATAGATTCCAATCCCACAATACTGTCCATTTTGCTTAAATGTACCTATTTTGAGGAATCCTAGTGATGTCAGTGGGAGCAACTCACAATATATGAATAGGTACAGGTCTTGTAGGACTGTAATAAGGAAGACCGCTTGACCATGTGATCATGACTGTATACAATGGTTGCCAGTCAGAGCAAAAGACATGCTCGTCAAAAAGCTGTGTGGGCTGCTGAAGACAGATTCTGTATCAACGCAGTGAGGAGCTTCATTTTGGTTACGTCTCTTCCAGGTGAGTTCTTGCAAAGACATCGTGGGTAGCCCAAAGCCCTCAGGAGGTGCTGTAAAGCTGAACTAACTGCTGCTAGAACAAAAAAACTTACTCCTGAACAGGAATTTGTGGAAGGCTGTAATTACCCTTGAGTTCACTACAGTCTGAAGGCATGTGTACCAGCCATGTGACCATCCAAGGAAGAAAATTAAATTCAAAATTATATAGAAAAGGTACACTA